ATTTGCAATTATTTGCAATTAATTCGCTAAATATTGACGTCGGTTTGGAACGGATCGGACAAATTGGGAGGGCTGAATGAAGTTAGCCCCCCCCCCAAACTTATTTTTTGATTTGTGACTTTTCACTTGATTTGCAAATTCTAAAAATGAATTTGCAATTATTTGCAATTAATTTGCTAAATATTGGCGATGGTCTGAAGTGAATCATTCAAAGTGAGGGGGCTAACTTCATGACGACGGTCAATGGGGCATATTTCGGATGGTACTTCAATACTATTTGACGTATTTTCATTTTTATTCATAAGAACATCTCTAATAGGGGTTGTTTTTTTTTTTTGTAAGCCAACGGTATTACCGAGTACCTACGTAGTTTAGTTTATTTTTTATTACAAATCCAACTTCTTGATCTTCATTCAATTTGTTTTCTGCATTCTCCATTACCTTAGGACTTCAAATTATTGTTAGATTTGATGTTTCTAATTTTTTTTTTTTATTATATTAACCAAGAAACAAAAATTTGTGGAAATATATGCTAAATGATTTTTCAGGTCATTATTTTACATAACATCAGAAGCTTGTGTAATAGCGATTTCAGTATCTAAATCAAGATTTGATATAACTTCATTAATTTTTCTTTAATTCCAAAATAATGATTTTAACACGAATAAAAACTGTGTATGTACGGACACGTGAAATATTTACAGAATATGTATATACTGGTGAAATATTTAAAAATAAGTATTAACATCGAAACATGAGAAAATATGTAAAATAAAAACGTCTCATAATATTCAGGATGTGCTTATTTTTTATCGGAATTGAGAAATTCACATAGAATAAAAATACGTATTTACATAAAAATCCGCGTCCTACTTCTCACGTTAATATTCATCTGTTTCAAACTTCCGCCTGTCCCAATACCCTTGCGCGCATCCCTGGTAGTAGTCGCAAGCAATATTATTTTTTTTTATTTTTTTTTTTTTGTAAACGCTCTATGGTCGCGGAAAGTTTCGCTCTGCTCCACACTAATTTCTGAGCCGTGGCCGTGCGCACTAGTCGCGTGTCTGAACCGCAGCGCCGAATTAATTCGATGCAAATCGTACAGTTTTTGAATTTTTTTTTTTTTTTGCCGTCGGTTTTCTTCGACGAACACGCCATGAACACCATCACGCCAAGCGCCTCTAACCGCGACCGTTGGCCGTGCCCGTGTCGTCGATTCATCCGCGCCAATGGAGCACCGTCGTCGTCGTCGTCGTCGAACCGCGCTTAAGAGCCCAGCGGTCCGAGCCTGCGCGCAACCGTCGAGTGTCCGGCGAAAGGTTCGGCGAAAGACGTGCCGCAAAAATGCACGAGGGACGAGCCGGCGGCGAAACAGGACCGGAAACCGGTACGTGGTTGTCGCGGAGGCAACCCGTCGAGACGGAAACCGGAAGTGCCGCCGACCAACAGCCACCGTCCCCCGCGATTTCCGCGCCTCTGGTTTTGACGGCGACCGGTGTCCTGCGCGCGTGAATTTTCATCCGCGCGCGCGGTGCGCCATTGGAGTACCGTCCTCGGGCCGACGACCGCTACCGAAACTTATTGTTTTTGTGTTCCCCGATTACTTGGACTCGTGTTGTTTTACCGTTATTGTTTTCGCCCCTTAGATTTATCATTGTTCGAAATACACCGTTTGGTACCTATACGTTTACAGTGTTGCACTTTTGCAGTAGACATTACGCGACGGACGTTTGCTCGATTCGTTCGCAACGCGGAGAACGCTGTTTTCTTGGGGACCACGTAAACAATACGCGTATTTCGTTTTCCTATCATCAGGTTTTCGGGCGTCAAACTTGCACAGCTTCGCGTACGTGTAGCCGAATCACATTAAAATAAGAGATTCGTTAAATGTGCAGATATTATTATTATTATTATTATTATTATCATTAGGTATTCATAGTTTGGACATTCATTTGGACATAACGCTATAGAACTTGTCATACTTTTTATAATGATATATACATTTTTTTTTTTTTTTTTTTTATAACGTAAAGTACCAAAAATATATTGCGTCACATGTCTTACGATATTTTAAGTTTTCGCTGCGTGTTCTGGCGTTTATAAGTTACATTTAAAACCGTCTATACAACTGGTATTTTAAACTCAATCCATTTTCATGGAATTTATAAAAATTATGAAACTTCTCTTACGATTGATATTCTTTCGATTGCGGTTAACTGCGATACGTTGGGCCTATCTATATTTTTTTCTTTAGCGCGGATTTTTCGTAATATTTTTTTACCATATAAAATTTTTGCATTAAACCATGTATAATTGTTGTTGTTTCTATTATATATTATGTGTCTAATTCGATACGATATACGTATACAATGTATTTTATATATACTTGAATGTATTTCTGTTGATTGTCCTGACATTATCTGAAACCGCTGAATCGATTTAAACTTTCCCGGTTAACGCATCTAAGCGTATTGCTGTGCATTTGTTTCGAAGCTCTAGTATAGAATATCTCGGAAACCATTGATTTAATTTTGAGTTCTAAATATATTATTCGTAGCATTCACGGTACTTATACGAGTAAGTAGGTACTACTCATATTTTCTATATAAGCGTGTCAATTTTAATTGATAATTTAATATTATAATCTAATATCAGTTAGACATAATTGTTATATACGACAATATAATAACGATCAAGCAATATATTGCTTATATATATATATATATATATATGTCAGCGGTTCTCAAACTTTTTTTTTTCGCGTACCACATGTGTATATTATCAGTCACGTACCATTAATTATTAAAAATAGAATCATACAAACTTCACATAGTTAAATATATTTATTTTAAATAAAAAGGCAGTAAAATACTAAAATAAAATTATTATTTATATATTACTACAAATTTATTAGTGTTTTAAATTAATATATGAGTTAAATATTGAATTTTTAATATCCGTTCTACCACCATGTAGTCTTTTGCGTACCATTAGTGGTACGCGTACCACAGTTTGAGAACCACTGATATATGTATATATATATATATACATGCAAAAACTGACCAGGTATATTTTTTGGTGTTATCAATTTTTGTGTTATAATATTAACTATACATACAATTCGTATGATATCAAGTTTAATAAAACCGGATAAAAGTTGTACTTTTCAAAGTGTTTTTATTCGAAACTGAAATTATTATTACCGAAAACCATGAAAATATACTTGGTCATTTTTTGTACGATATTTACGTGTAGGT